GGAGCAGTTATTGCAGTTGAAAGTCAAAGTTGGCTGTTCATGGTTAGGCCCTGTTCTTTATTTGGCCATCTACCCCATAATGCAGTTGTGATGACAAACAGTTTTCAGTGTAGTTTTGTGATCTTTGATGTCATCAATTGGTGTCATTATTTTTCGTCAACTAAAACTTATTTGAACTTTCCATTCAATCGACTCAATCATACGAGTCACTCTAATTTTCGGGAATCAAATCAGTCAACCAGTCGCTAAAGTCAAACGAGTCAGTCAACCAGTCATCTCGAAAAGTCAATCGACTCAATCCAATCAACTCAAAATACGCGTTGAATCAAATCAATCAATTCAATCGACTTGATTGGTATACAACCCTGTCTACAACAATATCCCCCACAGACAAAGTTTCCGCCCCGGAAACTGATCAACCTCTGCATGGCCCGCGGACATTGATGCACCAGGTAAGACGGTACACTTTGGCACTTTACACATATGTACATTCATACATGAGCAATGAACACTTCAAACCATAAGCATTACCTATGAACACAAAATGTACACGCCACTTCTGTCATACATCACCACATAAAACAGGATGGAGATTACGTTTCACATAACAATACCATATCCACTTCAAGCCGAATCATCTCATATGAGGTCTTAATGACTAGTGGTACCTAATGGGGTGTCTGACAGTTCGACCCGCTCTCGTGATTATCGACTTTGGCACATTTGGAGTCGCCTGAGTGACCAGGTCCTGCTGCCCAGAGGACTTGTCTTGCCGCGGCGTTTTGTCGCCATGTGGCCTTACGTGTTTGTCAGCTGACTGGGGATCAGGCCCGGTCTCGGTCTCGGGTCTCTTTTCGGTCTCGGTTCTGTGGGACTGGGCCGAACTGATGAGGCGACGAGCGTTGACGGCGTCGCCAAATGCGAGTGGGGTAAACAGGCGGCCCCAGTGGGTGAGTTTCCCGTGCTTGGGTGATGCGGTTTTAAGCGGTTGTGGTGGACCGTCATTTCCGTCGCCTCTCCTTCACCTGCAATGAGATATGTCCAGTTTCGACGTTTCGCTATCACGCGGTAGGGTCCCTTCCAGCGAGGGGACAACTTTCTCACGTCTCCACCCTGTACCGCATTTTGCCTGAGCCAGACGCAGATACAGATACAGATGTGTATTCACGAATAATCCACAGTACACTGGGGCTTTTCATACTCGCACGTCAGATGGCTCAATGGACAATGGAAGTAGTTTTGATTCGCATAAACATTAGCACATGTACACACACACACACACACCAGTAAATAAGTTATGCCGCAATCAGCCGGTTCGATCACAAAAGATTGCCTATCACCGCGCCCTGTACAGATAGGTAATGACGCTCCCTCTGCTGACAGTGCCCCGCGACGCAAGCACGTCATTGTACGCCGTTACACCACTGTAGCAGAGTCGCCTGCGGCCCGCCTCGGTACAGATACGCGGCAAAGTGAGGCGGTCGGCACCCCGCGTCTGGTGCCGGTGCCGCTGACCAGCGGGCCGGCCGACGCGATGGTACGAACCAGCGGCGCGGGCAACTGTAGCGTCACGAGTCGGTGCACAGCGATGATGCGGTGGTACAGGTACAGCTCGCGCGCGGTTAGCCAGCCAACATCGTTGATGACATCTGAGACGCGCTGGTGTTTACGCCGTCCACTCAATACACGGGCAGCAAAGTTGACCAACTTCTGAACTCTATGAATCTGAGATTTGTTGCAGCTAACTACCGTATACAGATATGCAATACCGGACGATCGAAAAGACAAGCGCAGTGATCAGTGTTCTCAGGGTGCCAGTGGGGATAACATGCTTCGCTTGGTTCAAGGCAATCAATATACCGGTGCACTTCGGAACGAGCTGGTCTACATGGGGCTGGTAGGTCATGTTCCTGTCAAAAATCACACCCAAATTTCGCGCCTGGTTTGAGCAGGTAACGGTGGAGCCAACGAAATTTACTTTGATATCGCAGGGGACATCGCTGAGCATTTGACGTGAACCGAAAATCATGAACTCTGTTTTTTCAGCGTTAACTTTCATCCCGTGGTCACAAAACCAGTTAAACATACAGTGGAGAGCACTTTCAATCCTGCTAATTAGCAGCGGTAGATCCTGCTTTTTACCGGTCGTCCAGATCTGAGTGTCGTCGGCAAATTGAACGATTCGCACGTTTGAGAACGCGGCTGCCCGGCTCATAGTTATGTTCCACTATGCGCGCATCATGCCTGATTTGGCCACCATGGGATCTGGTATCCCTCCCAGTAGCTTCACCACTTCGGCGGAGATCGAGTCGAGTGTGGCTGCCGGGCAGGCTGCACACACGTGTCGGACACATTCCTTTACATTACCAGAAACAAAGAAACGCAAGTTTGTCACAAGTTTGTCGGTATTCCACTTCTTCATCTGACCAAACAAACAGTAGTCCTCCAGCCATGATATCCAATCTTGTGCACTGCCGTTCTCAAACTTCTCCAGAACCAAATGGTCCGACATTTTTAACACCGCTGCCACCACTGTTATGGGTTCGATATTGCTTCGTACTGACGGTAAATTTGTTAGAAATTATCATTCACACATGTTCCACTTTCTATTTCAACATCCTCGTTTTCCCACTGGCTATCACAGCAGCTGTTTGTTCATTTTTACAGGCGCTCGTGTTTATCCGCGGGCTAATCCTCATCAAAGTCCTTCATTAGACAGATTATCTACAACACAAGTATAAAAATGCACTGCGTTTGCCGCAATGCGCCATTTGCGTCTCAGCGTGTCATTTTTGCCACAAATCGCACAACTCTGTCAAATATGGTCCGATAAAGGTACAATTTAGTGCCGGGATGCATGCTCGAACGAAAGGTACAGATGCGCTGCATTTGCTGCAATGCCCCAAATTTGTCACAATGCGCCATTTTGAGTCGCAAATTGCAAAATGGCCATAATTTTGTCAAATATGGTCCGATAAGGGTACAATGTCTTGGTGTCTTGGTAAGGGACTTGGTGTCTTATTTCGAGAACTCGAAAATAGTCATGTACGCTGACGATGTTCAGTTCTTGCACAAAAGTGAACCAAAATGTTTAGAAGGTCTCAAGACAAATGTAGAAAAAACTTTTGAAGAAGCAAACAAATGATTCCAAGAAAACAGTCTACGAATCAATCCAAAAAAGACTGACGTTCTTATCTTTTGTTCACAGCAACGGAGAGACTTGTCAAACTTAGAACTGAAATTTGGTGAGTCAGTGGTACATCCATCTCAACACACTAGGCTTTTAGGGGTTGAAATAGACCAGCATCTTACATTCCAAAATCACATCAATGTCATTGTGCGCAAGTGCTACGCGACACTAAGTGGTCTCTCGAAGATGGCACGCAAACTTCCTCAGAGTGTAAAAAAGATGATCGTAGAAATGCTCGTACTGCCGCATATTGTTTACTGTATGACAGTGTGGTCTGGTTGTGGGCTGTCACAGCGTCATCGGATTCAGAAAGTGCTGAATCATAGTGCACAGATTGTCACTGGGTCTCGGAGATCTGCTCACGCTTCACCCTTGCTTCAGAGGCTTGGATGGCCAAGGCTAGATGAACTTGTCATTGAAAGTGACCTGGCGATGGTTCATAAAATTTTGCAAAACTGTCAGGTGCCAAAGAGTCTTCGCGATAGACTATGTTATCGTCATGATGTTACCGGGAGAGTCACACGTACGACTCGCGCGAGCCTGCTTCAGGTCCCGCGCGTACATACAGAAAAAGCGCGACGTTTCTTTGATTTCCGCGCTGTGTCTCACTGGAACAGGGCTCCAGCGCAGGTCAGGGGTGCTAGGACCTCAGCTGGATGCCGAAAACGAGCGCGGTCGTGGCTCAGTGACTCTGAAAACTAGTCACCTGTACTGTCAAAAGTTACTGAGAAAAAGTGGTTTAGGATTACTTTGTGTTTATTGTGCTCGTCAATGTCATGAACTTTGCCGCCATGAAGATGCGATGTTATGTGTGCTTGTCACTTTAGCACTTTGTGATCATTACTGTGTGACCGGAAGAGCCATTGTTGTATGGAGGTCATAATACAAGAATAATAATAATAATAATAATAATTTGGTGCCAGGATGCATGCTCATACAACAGGTACCTAGAGATGCGCCGCGTTTGCCGCAATGCGCCACATTTGTCACAAGGCGCCATTTCCGACAGATATCCCTAGTAAAAAAGTCCTGTAGGACTGCATTGAAGTCCTTGAACTCCTACAGGATCCTGTAGGATTTTAAGGATTTCTCTGAAGGATTGAAGAATCCTATAGGATTTTCATGAAGGACATTTGAATCCCACACCGATGTCCTACAGGATCCTCTAAGATGAAGTCGTACATGATTTTATTCCTACAGGATCCTGTAGGATTTCTCCTGTATGACCCAATCCTGTAGGATTTTGTCCAGCAGGATTCTATAGGTTTCTGTCGTTTATGATCCTGTAGGATACTGAGTGCAGAATCCTATAGGTACGACTCATGGTCCTGCAGGACACTGTTCGACTTTCCTTCGCAGTACCTTAAATGATTTTATCCACAAGGGCCCTGGAGAACCTTTCATAAAAGCTTATAGAAATATGCCCTGTCCACTTAGGCATTATCATGTAAGATGAACGCGTCGACCGCGGATCTGCTACTCAGGCGTACGAAATGGACATAACGTGGGAGGGGCGGCCGGCTGATCATCAGCCAATGTAACGTTCGAGCAGAGTCTGTGCGGTGCTGTGGTTAACGGAAGATAACGTTTGTTAAATGTTCGTTAACGGGTAGCGCCGGACCGCTGCGAGACGGTCCTCCGCACTGCCGCGCCGCCGCCGGTGGCGGCCCCGCCGGCGCGGCGGCGCGGCGGCGCGGCGCTCTCGGACGCCCCGGGCCGGGCCGGGTCCGGCGGGGGTGAGCCCCTCGGCCGTCCCGGGCCGGCGGTGGCGCGTCTCGCTGTGGGGGTCTGTCCGAGCGGCCGCGTCCCCCTTACCGCATTCCGGCGGAGAGGGGTCAGTCTGGCGAGAGGTTTGGTGCGGTGTGCACGTGAAGTGAACATACTGGACAACCACAGGTTTGCTTCAATTATTTGAAACACCTACTATCATAATATTTTCCAGACAGGACCACACTTCAATCAAGTTGACCACCTAAAATACCATCACATATCCATCCAAACAGCTGGATGATCAATAATGTAATGTTGTGCTGGGGGGGGGGGGTATAATACTCCTGTTTGAGCTGTTAACTTTGAGCATTGTCCTCATGGCTAGACGTACATATGAGGTACTAAAGCGGCGCAATGCCAGACAATTTCTCTTCAAAATGTTTGACATTATACGCTATTTTACTGAAATAATCATTTTTACATGTTTTAAAGTCATCTACAAACTCGTTCAAAGTAAACCACACTCACACGTAAAATGAGAAGGAACACAGAAGCACCGACGTGAAAACAGGCCCGTTTCATTTTACGCGGCAAGTAGAACAGGAAGCCAATATTAAGGCCGCAGCAACGCCAACGGGGCCGAGGTTGCAGCGCGGCCTGCGATGGACCAAGTGAAGCTGAACGAGATGATCGGTAAGTTTAACTGCACGCTTAAATTACTCGGTCCGCATCAGGAATGGGCTGTTAAAAATAAAAATAAAATATTACAAACATCGTGGTTTTATAACGTATGTATCTATATTGTACCCTAGTGATGGGGAAAGTTGTACGGGTGTTAAATCTGAATGAGTCATCTTTTTCATCTTTTTTCACAGGAAACTTAAACTAAAGAAATCGGAACTGCGTGTCATCTGCAGAGCGAAAGTCAACGACGAAACGAAGCTCCTGCAGCGCCGGACTGCGACGCGCCCGGCACCTGAGCCGGCAATGTACCTAACTAGTCCGACGGTGACCTCCAAGTGTAAAATGGGCATTATGTGGAATACATTTCGCAGTCTACGAATTTTGTTGAAGCCGATAGCTGACTGTGATTACGTCATTGAAGTGGGGTGCTAAGTGCTCACGCAGAATGGCTGGTTCAGCTACTGACTGATATCCGTGAGACATACGTATTGTAGGACACCCTGTATAACAACATGTAGGTTTCATGTAGAGCACCTGTAGGGCATTATGTAGGATTCCTGTATGACGGCATGTGGGACTTGCTATAGCATCCCTGTATGAACGCATGTAGGACAACCTATAGGATTCCTGTAGGACATCCTATAGGATTCATGTAGGATATCCTATAGGATTCCTGTAGGACATCCTATAGGATTCATGTAGGACATCCTATAGGATTCCTGTAGGACATCCTATATAATTCTTGTGGGACATCATACAGGATTCCTGTAGGACATCCTACAGGATTCCTGTAGGACATCCTACATGATTTCTGTAGGACAACCTACAGGATTTCTGTAGGACAGCTTATGGGATTCCTGTAGGACAGCTTATGGGATTCCTGTAGGGTATCCTATAGGATTCCTGTAGGACATCCTATTGGATTCATGTAGGACATCCTATAGGATTCCTGCACGACATCCTGTAGGATATCCTGAAGGAGTCCTACATGAATCCTTGTAACAATTTCGCACAAGAATCATACAGGACTAATCCTCCATGATCCATGGAGGACGATCCTACAGGAATCCTATAGGACTTTTTCACTAGGGATGATTAAGGATACAGTCGCGATGGTGACTGGAAATGGTACCAAACGAGAGTGCATTTCGTGGAAATTCATAACGGCATCATTCTCATCTGCTTTCTCTCGTTTTCAGTCTCTCACAGCAAATGTTCGAAGATACCGCCTTCGCGAGACAGGCACAGAGCGGCCGGTCTGGTGGCTGACGCGGTAGCCCGAAGACACATGTTCGCTGGTATGGCTCACACAGTCTTGGCATGATCGCTCTCTTCAGGTCACAGAGACCTTCCTTTTAGACCTGACCCTTGAGATGAGATGATAAAGAAGTCACTGCACAGCAGCAAGGTCACCGAAATGGTGTGCCCTCAGCGGAAAAGGAATCGTGGGTCCACTTTGGTTCGAGGAAGGGAGCGGCGACACCGTGACCGTCAATCAACAGCGCATACCAGGCGGCGCTGAGGAAGTTCTGAGAGCGAGTCCAAACGAGCATGGCAGTCTCATCTATAGACCTTATGTGGTTCCAGCAAGCCTCCTCACATCGCAAAAATAACGCTCAAGTGCATCGAAAACCACTTCGGTGACCGGCTGATATCTCGCGGTGCCAGTCGGAACTGGCCTACCTGCTCATCCGACCTGACCCCTATGGATGTTTTACTGTGGGATCATCTCAAGGGCCAGGTCTACAAGGAAGGTCCAGAAAGCCTCTGAACTGAAGAGAGCGATCAGCAAGGCTGTGTGAGCCATACAAGCGGGCTATCGTGTCAGCAGCCAGGCTGGTCGCTCTGTGCCTGTCTCGCGATGGTGGTCACTTCGAACATCTGCTGTGAGAGATTGAAAACGAGAGAAAGCATGTGAGAGTGATGCCATTATGAATTTCCACCACGAAATGTTCTCTTGTTTGGTATCATTCCCAGTCACATGCATGCAATGATACATGTTTTATACGAGTTTAAAATGTTTCCATCCTTTTTGGTCCACCCTGTATAGCATTGAACTTGCAATGAAACAGAGATTAATATGTATTCTTGAAATTGTGAAAAATACGCTATTTTTGATATATGACACATCGAGTCTTCCTTCATTTGTATTTTTGGACTCTTGGACCTTTTTTTAATTCTTATATTATCTAAAAAATATGTGGCTCATTGTTATAGTCTGTTTTTCGTATCTTCTACCTTCACTCAAAGACGGTAAACTCTCTAATCACGTGCTCCAGCGAACATCTAAATAAATCAACACCGCTGCAAAGTCAATTTTTATCTCGAACGCAAGATCGAACGTCTGTCCCCTTGGCCATCTCGTTAATCAAAGCGCAATGTTCTTTGTCAAGTGAAATGCATTTGCATAAAAAGTGTCATCATATTTTCATTCTGACATAATTATCCCTTTCTAATTTCATTATGTTTTCAAACAACAGAAAGAAGGGCAATGGCCTTGGTCTCAGACAAGACAAAATGATCGTAACGTTTTCTTTCAACGTTTCAAAGCAAAAGAAATGTGGGTTAGGTGACTGAAATAAGGCGGTGAAGAAGGAGCACAACCAACGAATATCACCAGAATAACGAACTTACTTCCTTGGATAGTCCAGAAAGAAAAGTGTTGAAGACGCGGAGAAACACCGACGGTGGTGGCACAGTTCAACTCCGTCATGCTTTCAGCGCAATATAATATACGAAAAATGCATGCGTGGGTGTTATTGTTGTTATTACCTGCATTTGTGTATCATAATATAAGCCCTAAGGCGTTGGTGATTGCCAGCGGTCAAAAAGTCATGTCAGATGATAAAGATCACCAGCAGCTTTCGACTAGCTGCTAGAACTAAAAATGTTTCGACGGCGCTGTAGTTCAATCGGTTGACAAGGTTTGGTCAGATTTGTCCAAACATGTTGAGCACGGGAGTTTTTTAAATTTATGACCTTCAGTGGCCTTCACTATTGACCTCAGCAAAATGCGGTATATACCTATATAACTATATGATATATATGTATACTGCTGAAAGTAAATGTTGAGAGCTATCGATTCTTGCCCGCGTCTTCGCATCTTTCTTACTTTCGGGATGATCGCGTGAGGCAGATAGGAAAACTATAAGATGAAGCAAATCTGCCTGGGGACCCCCAAGCGGGCGTGGGCTAGGACAATTTTGTTATTCGTCCGTGTAAAATTTATCGCAGCGTAAATAAAGCAAAACATAAATTAAGCATTTGAAACAAATATGGCAGAACATATAACACATTTAGTTTCTTTTACCCAATGAAAAGGAAGTGCAAGCTTTAAACTATTCTTTAAATGTTCTTAGCAAGAGCGCTTCGCACAATGCAAGTACCTATGGACAGCAAAACGTCCTTGTGTATAGGTCGGTAGTCAGTACGAATAAACCGTGGTAACGATAATACAAGCGATACTCTAGCTTAAAGGTTTCTTTTCCGATTTTATCTGCGCAGCGAAGGCGAACTCTAACACGAGCAACAAACTCCTGCAATGAGTGGTGGGCCATGCGGTCAAGATTTGAAAACTATACCCTAAAAACGTGCTGGAGGGGCAAAACATCTTTGAGTGAAGGTAGAAGATACGAAAAACAGACTATATTATAAGAAGTATGCAAAAGATTAGGAAGGTGTTCTTTTTATAAATGTATTTATTTTGCTCCACGATAACGGTTTCGAATAGTGATTTCGGGAGGGGAGCTTACAAATGGCGTGGTAAAGCTACCTAGTGCCATCACGGGTTACTGATCTTTCATTTGAACTCTGAGTCATCTGAAAAAATGAAAAGAGGGTTCATCCAACCGTCTTTCCTATAAGCGCGAGAGTGAAAAAGGCTGTTTGGTTCTGACATTGTTTTGGACGCCAATGACCATAGCTGTCCGAGATGAAAGTTACAGGACGCAGACATGGTGTCCTCCAGAGGTCTCACAACTTGTATATCTGGGAATTTTTTAAGGTCACATGTGGTCAGGTCGGTCACGTGACATCACTGTTATAAGTCAATGAGGAAATATAAAAAAACTGTTATTTTGGCGCCGAGAATGATCTAAAACTATCTCACGTACATGGTATCGTGATTTCATGCACTCCTTGCAAAGTCCAATGCTTCACTTTTGCATTGTTAACCTTGCGTGACGTCATTTACGACGTTGCTAGGGTCGTACGAGTTTTTCGTCAATAATTCCCGATGAAATTGAGCTAGAGAGTCAGGAGCAGGGCTGCGGAGTCGGAGTCGGAGTCGGAGTCGGAGTCGGTCGGAGTCGACAGTTGTGACCGGAGTCGGAGTCGGAGTCGGAGTCGATTTTAGAAACCCGAGCCGGGGTCGGAGTCGGAGTCACCGAAAATCTGTCGACTCCGCAGCCCTGCTAGGTCTGCGGAGTCGGAGTCGGGGGTTGGAGTCGGTCGGAGTCGACAATTCTGGCCAAAGTCGGAGTCGGAGCTGTTTTTTGAAAGCCGGAGTCGGAGTCGGAGTCGGAGTCGCCGAAAATCCATCGACTCCGCAGCCCTGGTCAGGAGAGCCACCAATGGACTCGGGAAGACCTTCCGAATCGAATGATATGCCATATGATATCCTTTGGCCAGCTTCGTGACCTGAGGGGCTCTGAATTGACGTTGACCCGATGTCAACTACTTAAGTTGACCTCACCCAAACAAAAAGCATATCATTCGACGCACCTGAGCTAAACGAACACAATGATGCCAAAATCGCGGCTCTGCGGCCATTTTTTGCGAAGTTATTTACTAAAAACCGAACCCGTAACTTCAGTCACTTGACCTGACCTCAGACGCTACCTGAGACCTTAAAACCGGGTACCAATCGCTGCGACTTGTAACGGCAAACACGCTGGTTTTTTCACCGAGGCTCTAGCTCTATTAGAAGCGAAACGGCGTGCTGGGGTCGTATTGACCCTCTCGAAACCCATTTTGTTTGCGGGAAAATGAGGAACTTATAGAAAGAACACCTTTCTAATTTTTTGCACGTCGATTTGCAATGACATGAAGTTTATTTTGAAAGAAATTAAAATGTGAAAAATTTTGGTCCCAAAAGTCATTAGAGATTAATGAAAAAAATTTAGATTTTTGTTCGACAAAAAAATTTCCCCTGGAATTTTTAAAAAGTAATACCAGTAAAACGCCTTTTGGGCGAAGGACGAGCGAGCGAGATAGTGAGCCCTGCACGTGCGGAAGGGCGAGAGGATACTTTCAACGGACTTGTGCAAAGCACCCTTCTAACCGGTTGCTAGCGGTGTGCCAAATTTGAACGCAATCGGCCCAGCCGTTCCTGAGATCTGGAAGCGGCATTCTGCACGTGCGCACGTGCAAACGGGGTCAAAACTGACTTTTGCACGGCACCCTCCTAACCGGTCCCAAACCGTGTACCAAATTTGAGCGCAATCGGCCCAGCCGTTCTCGAGATCTGGAAGCGCCCCCTGCACGTGCGCACGTGCAGTAGCACCCTAACCGCAACACATGGGAATGCATTGCCTGGTGGGTGCCTACCTGTATGCCAAGTTTCAGCGAAATCGCCCCAGTAATTACCGAGTTATTGAAATGGGAACAAATTTGACACCTCTTATTGTTGTATTTTGCACGTGCACTGGGGGGTCACTCACATAGATCAAGAGTATCCGACCTTTGGTAGAAGGGATGCAGCTACCCTATAAAAATTACCGCAAGACAATCGCTCAAGCCGCTGCTGAGATATGGGCCTCTCAAAATCACTACTTTTGCAAAACTGCTTGAACACCCTTGACTTTTCACGTGGCACGTGCCACGACGGTCACTGAGATGTATCAAAAGTAGTCAATTACGGGGTAGAAGGGATGGGGCTACCCAGCAAAAAAGACCGCAGGGCAATCGGTCCAGCGGTTGCTGAGATATAAGCCTCTCAAAAGCGTTACAGGCCGGGCCGGGCCGGGCCGGGCCGGGCCGGGCCGCTCATACTGAGCTTTTTCCCTTATATTGAAAAGACTTCGCTTCGCTCGCTGCGCTCGCTCGCTCGTAATTAATTTTTGATTCATCGCAAGCTTAGTGCTGTTCACCCTTTGTTGTTGCTTAGCCCGTTCTTGAGTTATGCCATCAAACTCACCGTTATAAACCGAAGTTAAAAAAATGTAATGCAATATAACTCAAAAAGTTTTCATCTGAGAAGTCTGATATTTTGCCAGGCGTCTTTGGGGCCTATGATTACCCCTAAGACCGATTTTCATTAAAATCTGAGAGATGAGGGTGACGGGCCTGGTACGATCTATCGTGGAATGCCCCATCTATCAGTGTGCCTCGTAAGTGTAGGAAATCCTCGTTCGTAAAACATGTATTAGGACGATGACCAAATCATCTTAAAGGGACCCTCCCACCTTAACATTAGATTTGAGTTGAGATAGCCAAAATGGGGTCCCTGGCTCACAATTACCGGTTTCGGCACTCACAACATCGAGAAATGCCTTAAATCGGAAATATTGAATATCAAAATTGCAGCATTTTGATTCAGAGGGGCTAATGCATAGGAATACCCCTCTGAATGTGTGACATCATCGCAGATATCTAACGATTTTTAAATGTTTGACTAAAACGTTTTGTAGCACGCGGTGGTATATGCTGCTTTGCGCGTAACAAATGCCGCATTTTTTAATAAAGTCGCTAGGAACAGCGGAGATCCCAAAAAGTAAACAAAAGTAAAAGTCTAATATCTTGAAAACCGGTGAATAATTTTCGATGAAATTTGGTAGATATTGGCTTTCGCTCTTTCTTAACCGAGCGACATCACTTTCATGCCAATTCATTGACTTTTTTGAAGGTGGGAGGGTCCCTTTAAATGCCTGTTAGTAACAATAGTATGGCACCTAAACTAATTAGCACTGCTCAGTAATGAGCACGTGCTCCATTTACATAAGTACCGCTCAGGTAGCATCTCTGCATCCCCCCAGTTCGTTAGTGTCAAGTCAAAAGTGGCTTGGTAATGAACGAACTCAACAGCCTGAACGATTTAACCAAACTGTAGCAGCTCCCAAGGTAGCAGCTACCCGGTGCGCTCCCTCCAGCATCCTGTCTCAGGCTCGTAGAACTTTGCGGGCTTGAAGTTGCGTGCGGAGCGCCGTGGTCCCGGTGGGATCCGAACGGTGTCAGCTGGTGGGAGTTCAGCATTCCCTGGTGGACGCTGTGCATCCGTTACCACTGGATCTGAGCATGGGCTCAAAGTCGGAGCCAGTTGCGTGTCCTGGGTGTGACGTTCTGGCTCAGACTGCACCCTTCGTGTCTCGGGTGAGTCAAGAGGGTGGATGACTGGCGTCGACAGGCTGCTGGGCGCCTCCAGTCTGCGTCCAGTCACCGGGGCACGAGGTCCGATACTGAGTGTCGCCGGTTGGAATGCCCTTAGGAATCGGCGATTTCTGTTCGTGGTGCGACCCGTGCCGTCCACCTTCACGCAGTACTGGTCATGCCCCAGGGCTTCCATGATGACGCCTGAGCGATCCCATTTGTCTGGGTGGGAGGCGGGAGCCATGCTGATTTTGAATGAAGACATGTTCGCCGACTAGAAGAGGACAGAGCGGGCGAGATCCCTTGACGGTGTACCGCGCGGTGGCAAGGACGGGGCGGGCCCAGTGGGTCAGCGACTGGTCACGCGGATGGTACCGTAGCCTCGTGGGAGCGAAGCTGCCGGGACCTGACTCGTGCAGAGGCGGTGGATGTGCACCAGGTGCGAGCGGGGCATTGGTCGGGCTCTGCCCAGTATCCACTGGCGGATCCAGACGTACGTTTGGGGGGGGGGGGCAACTCATGCAAGTAGCCAAACATAGGGTACCCCCAAATCCTGCTTTCTCATCGGATTTAGGCCACTTATTTTCCGTCACAGGCCTGACAAAAACTTTTTAATTAAAAAAAAGAAGTATAAAATGGTAGCCCACGCGACCCATGCCCTTATATTACTTTGTAAACACTTCACATTGCTTTTGTCGACCAGTTAACCCACTCCGGGTCGGTGCTTGGCGCAAACTTTGTGGGCCGGGAGGTGTTTTAACACCCTCTGTCTAGAAAATATAACATGGCATTAAAGAAAACGACCTACCTTCGAAGTTTTCATTCAAAGCTGCTAAAAAGCTAAGTGAATAAGTTTCACAGTAGGAACAATGTTCCCTATGATTTTTCGAACCAGTAACTATTTTGCTAACTTTGCGACAGTTTTACCAAAACAATACAAAACGTACAGCGGCATTTTTGCGACAAACCGTAAATTTCTATCGTTTCTCTCAAACTAGTGAACGTAAAACGGTCGTAACAGCGCATTTTTTGTAATGTAAGCCTGTTCCGCTCGGCTTTGCACTGACTTGACATAAAGATACTCATTCGGCTGAGGGTGAGGGGAGATTCAGGCATGCCGCATAGGATTGTTAAGTTTGAAATCCCATGTTGAAGGGTGCGATGTTTCCTTTAAGTGCATGCAAAATGCATCACTTAATTCTGTATCAGAAATCAAGTAAGTGCACATGACCAACAAGGCATGGTTTCACTATTAACCTTCAAATAATTAAAATCGTTATTTTCCTTGATGGAGCAACACAAACGGATTTAACGCACACATAACTGTATTGTTTATATTTGTGTGGGTAAACGGCAGGTAGATCAGCGGGATCAGGAGCAGGATCAGTGACTCCGGCAGCCGGCAACATCAGTGGCGCAGGCAGCATCATCGGAGACCGGCGGGATCAGCGGCAGCCGGCAGCATCATCGGAGACCGGCGGGATCAGCGGCAGCCGGCAGCCGGCGAGATCAGCGGCGGGCGGCGGGAGCGGCAGCTGGCGAGATCAGCGGCAGCCGACAGTCAAGCCGGCGAGATCCGCAGGCGGCGAAGCGGTCCACCACCTGGCCAGTCGACGGCAGCCTGTCCCTGTGGACTTGGAGGAGAACCAAGGCCTCCAGCCGATCTTCCGTCATCGTGGACCGTAGCGCAGTCAGCGTTCGCGTGACCTTTGAGAAGAGGCGCTCGGCCTCCGCAGTCGTCGCCGGCAGCACGGCCAGCACCCGCAGCAGTCGGTGAATGGCTGGGAAGGTGCACTGGCTGCACTCGTTCAGCGTGCCGATGGCAGTCAGCGGCACCTCCGGCTCCGTCTTCGGCCGGTTCGACCACATGGCCGCCAAGACACGGAGCTCAGACCAGAGCTGTTCCGTGCAGGTTCCGATCAGGCTGGCATACTGCCTGAAGACAGGCTCCAGCTGCTCCCAGGTGGAGTCGCTCACATTCTTCGGTAGGAGTCGGCTAAGTAGGAACGCCGTCCTCTGGTGCACGCCAAAGCGGTCCCTGATGTTTGAGATGACGGCATCTAGGGCGGGCACGAAGGTGTTCGCTCGGTAGTAGGCTTCAGGAGTTTGATCGGCAGCTGCTGTGCTCCTGTGGGCGGCCCTGCTTGGAAGCCGCGGCTTCTTTATCTCTATCTTGAATTTTGCCGCCATGGCCGTGGCGTCCACCATCAGATTTTCAAACTCGGTGTCGGAGTTAGTGCGCATGTCCTGAAGGACGGTGACGGTGGAGTCCACCAGACTGAGGCACCGCACCAGGTCCATCCCTCTCTCCTGCAGTGCTGTGGAGAGCGGGCGAAGAACGCCAGACAGCTTCCGGGCCACTGCCACTCCCACCAGGAACTCTCCCTGGGTTACTGCAGTCAGAAGGTTAGCTGCCTGAGAGCTGGTGCGTCGGTCCTGCCACTCAGCCATCAGCTCCAGGGCCAGGCAGACAGCGGGAAGCTCCTCCCAGAAACGCTCCACGGCGACGTGTCGCTCCACGAAGCGCGTCTGGCACAGCTTGAGGAGCTTTCGCTTCTCCCCATCGCCGAGTGCCTCTTTCTGGGCAGTGCGCAGCAGCTCCTCGCGCTTCGCACCGCCTGTCAGGAAGGTGACCACCGTCTCCAAAGATCCAAGAGCGTTCCTGATGATGTCCACCTTGGTCAGTTGGGACGTCGCCAGGTTCAAGGCGTGGACAGCGCAATGAAAGTAGTGCGCCAGCGGCGAGTCGCACCGCATCTGAGCGGCCACTCCGACACGCTCGCTGGCCATGCAGGCCGCTCCGTCGTAGCATTGCGCTACCATGGCCGCCCTGTCCAGCCTCAGGTCGTTCAGCACTGCGGTGATGACGCGGGCCAGGTTAACGCCAGACATTCGCAGTTCAGCGCCTTCAGTGAGGGGGCGAAGTGTCTTAAAGACATCCGGATAGGATGGCCGGATGGCAGGTGAACTGAGGAACGCATATAGAACACAGGCGTGAGGTTTGGAAGGGAAGGGAAGGATGAGTCGTGATGAGTGGACAGGAAATTAGAGCATTCAACGTGCCCTCTCGACTGGACAAAAACAGGCAGAGAAACAATGAAGTAAAGAGTTTGATACCTCAAACAGGATAGGAAAAACCTGAAGCTATCCCTAAACATTTTGCTTAGACTTGCTCTGTACCTTTTTTCGGTCGGAAATAGACGCAACAATGTTTCACTTCTAGGATGATATCATTTTGCGTGGTTGAGCTGTTTCTCTGAAGCTTTCGGCACGGTAGCTCGTCTGTAGCCGCACGCACGACGCACAAACGCACCACATCCCGGCAGGCACGTAGCCAGGATTTTGATCAGGGGGGAGGGGAGGGAACAAACCAAATCCGAGTAGGTCAAATGAGAGTCACGACCACGGACCACATATGCCCATCAATAGTCATTTTTTGTACAATTTTAAGAAAGGAATTGCTGAGATGAAAACTGTCGTCTTTCTTTAATAGCATTTTTTAAGATTTCTCTCTAGTTTAAGCTCAAGCACTCAGGTGGGACAATGGCCCCAGTGCCCCCCCCCCCCCCCACTGGTTACGTCCCTGCATCCCGGCTGGCCGCACGTTCCCGTCCGAGCCGCCCGCAACCCGTCGCAGGCTGTACTGACCCGACACCTATCGGAAGAAGATAAAACTATAGCTGACCAGAGGGCGCCAGGATCGTGAGTGGTACACGTGAATGACAGCTCACAAGTTAAATAACAGACTACAAAAAATCAGCTCTTTTCAGTCACAAATCTGGAAGACAAAATTCCCTGGTTCACAAAATACCACCAAAGATTAACTTTCTAGCCTTTGCCCTGAGCCATAAGCCAGCCAAGGATGTGGGAACTAGGGAGTATAAAGCAAAGCACAGGTGGCATTGGACCCCAACTTTGTGACATTTGTGAACATAAGCCATGCTGTCCCCCAGATGCCCCATGGGTGTATGAACATCACGGAGAGGGGGAGGGGGGCGGGGCAAGGCTACTTTTATGTCAGGTTACTTTGTAGGAGCTTCAACACTCCTATGAAAGTTATTGGCAGTTTTGTGATTTTATTTACTTTCTGACCCATTTGTTGTTCTAGTTTTGCTTTTGAAACAAAAATTATGATTTTCCCAAAACATTTGGCTGAAAAGAGGGGTAATGCTACTCCCTGTTCCTAAGCCACTATGCGCTGCCCCTGACGGTGTCCCCAAATTTGTCTATCTAGGTGGGAAACGACATCAAAATGAAATTTTTCACACTCACAGCCATTTTTTTTAGTGATTTTCCACTCCTATCAAATAAAACCTAAATACATTTTCACCTAGAAAGGGCAGTTGTGTGGATGCTTGGTTAAACACTATACATTCTTAAATTCTAGAACAAAAATGCATACTTTTGGTCCTTTCTCACTTTTCAGTTTTAAATGTGTTCACAACCAGCAGTTTACCACTCTCTAAACCCTTTTTGGTGGTTTTCCTTTTAGACACCCAAGCCAAAACTCAATTCTCGGACACTGCTGCCCCCTGGCGTTACACAGAAAGAAATAGCTTTTGAGACGAGTTAGCTGGTTATGTGCGGTATAAGCACTGCATATATCCTGACCTGTGAACCAAGTGTTAACTGGCACTCGAAGTCTCTCACCATGTTCGAAGGGATCAGGAAGTGACAGCCACATGTCAATTGTCAATGCCATGTCAGGAATTCAATCCAATCATTAACGCAGATGATAAGGGACTTTTCCCTGAGCCAGACTGCTCCCCTCACCCCTACGTCGGTCTCGTATTTGGCCTGCCCCAGTGTCCCATCAACTTTGCGAACGTTCCGGGCCCAGTTTCCCTTATCGGCCTCCCCAGGGCAAATTTACTTTACAGCAGACGTATACAAAAATAAAATACAATTACCTCTCATCTTCCGATTTCTTCTTTTTGAGAAAGAAGTTGAGTGTTGACTGCCTCTTCTGTCTCTTCATTTTAAATTGCACTTGCCACAGATAAGAAGACACCTGAGGCCCTTATACAATTTCGTTTCTTGAATGCGGGCCGGGCCAGGGGTCTAGCAGACGACATGCGCGCGCGATAAGCAAAGGTGTTTGAAAGTGAGGGGTGAAGACCACGGACATCCCCATATTAGCCAATCTACTCTTAAAAACAAAAGAAGTGTGACTCGTTGCTAGGTTACTACGTGATGAATAGGAATCTGAACAGCATTTACACTAATGGTATTACTTTTCAGAGTCTCAAGAGTAAATGTATTTTTTATTTAAATGATGGCAAATATTTCGACCCCCATTGAGGAGCCTTTTTCAATGCGAAATTACATGGAATAATAAACGATGCAGACAGTGCAAAGGATGCAAGTTTCACATCAGCAAAGTAATCCTTGTTTTTCACGTGGTCGACATCACAAGAACTTCCATTAAGTCAAAAATTAATATCCTATCTGGCAAAATACAATGAAAAATTAAGATAATTTAACCCTATTCCTGGCGGGGGGGGGGCCTCAGGAGCCCCCCCCCTGAGGTTTTTTGGTTATATCTCCCAAACGCGTTGAGCTAGGAAGCTCAAATTTTCTGACTTTTCCTAAAAGGCTTCTACGCAACATGTCTGAAAATTTTGAGTTGATCTGACCTCAGGTCAGGTCACCAGAGGCGGTTTGGTGACGCTACCTCAGAAAAGTTTGCAATCACGCCAGAGCTAGAGTTTTTGACCGATCGATTTCTTCTCTTCAGGGTTTAGTTAGGGTACCAGTATGTGCAATTTGTATATCTCGGAATTTTGATATCGGTGACCTAAGGTCAGGTCAATTTCGCGACCTCCCCATTATAAGTCAATGGGGGAAAAATCAACTCCCTGTTTTTACCACTAAAACGGGTCGGAATGGCCCCATATACCATACATGACTTCATATACGATCAACCTTCACTACCTTGAGGTCTGTTTTGCTGTTGGGCAGCTGTGAGGTCATGTGACGTCATCAAAGGTCACCAAAGGTTTTTGGCCAATAACTCCGTACAGGAACAAGATACAGACGCGTGGATGGTCTCATTGTGTTCAGCTCGTCAAGACGCATCGAATGATATACATGATGACCTCGAGGTCACGTGACCTGAGGTCAACCTTTGACCTTGACCTTTCGAGGTCAACATATATATCATTCGATGCGGATTGACGAGAGGATCACGATGATGCCCTTAGTTTGTTCCTATCTTGACTAATTCGAAAGTTATTCGAGAAAAACTCTCTCCATATCTAGTGCCGCCATTTTGACTTTTTCGACCCCTGTGACGTCATCTTTGACCTGACCTGAAAATGACCTTTGTAAAAATTGTAGATCTTGGCCGTGCGTATCCGATGCCGTTTACCGCTTGTCGCTATCTTGCTTCGTTCTCGAGATCTCAGGGGGGGCCGAATCGGCCCCCCCCCGCCAGTTTCTTGTCCCGGCGGAGCCCGCCAGGAATAGGGTTAAATGACACACACTCACGAAAGTAGAACAGGCTCATTTTGTATACTGTTAAACACTGACACTACCTATGGATTCGCGTTAAGACAACTAACGTCACTAATTACGGGGGCACCGTACCTACCACATCTGACACCACAAAAGTAGAAAAAAAGGTGTTGCCCTACTCACTTCATCCAACAGGTCACACATAGCATCCTCGTGTGATTTGATTGGCACAAACTATGATTTTTCCGAAAAACTGATAAACCGCATGATGCGACTACTTCAAAACGACGTCCCATATGGGGCTCAAATGAACGCCCCCGCTGTCGATGTTTATCGAAGGGCGTGACTGTCTGATCTCAATGGCCTCACGGATTTTCCTTTTCTTCCAGTGGCTTTCGATGGCCAGAGTTGCTGCCTCAAACGGGTTTATATCACCTCCACATGCCTCAAAATGTCTGGCGGTGGCAGAAGTCTCACGTCGTCCGTGCTTCATATCGGCGACATGTTCCTTCATACGATCACTTTTTGGCCTTCCGGTCTCCCCGACGTAGCTCGCGCCGCACGAGCACCGGATCTGGTAAATTGCCCCCTTTTTCTTTTCTCCCGACACAGGGTCTTTGACTCTTACCAAGTGGTCTTTCAGCCGCTTTGACTTGTGGGCCACGACAACTCTTTGCGCTCTGAGCAGTTTCGCTATCTTTTCGCTGACGCCTGGTACGTAGGGCACCGCCGCAAATGCTTTCCTTGTACCGGTAGAATCCTGGATATTCCTACGGGCGTCCCGGCGTTTGGTGGCCTTCATGATAAACCGTTCCGGGTACCCATTCGCCGTGAAGATTTCTTTGATTCTACTCTTTTCCTCTTTCAGACTGGACGAGCTACTGCAGACTCGTCTAGCCCTGGCTTCTAAGCACCTTATGATGCCTGCCTTCATGGCCTTAGGGTGGTTTGAGTCATACTTCATGTAGACGTTTGAAGCTGTTGCCTTTCTGTAAACTGATGTACTCAGCTGTCCATTTGATCTCGATACCATTGTGTCCAAAAATGGCAGTTGATTGTTCACTTCCCGTTCCAATGTAAATTGAATGCTCGGACAAAAACTATTCAAGCGCGCATGAAACTCTTGGAGAGCTTCTTCCCCATGAGGCCACAGTATGAACGTATCATCAACGTAACGCCTCCACACTGAAGGTTTTAAAGGCGTCGAATTTAGGACAGTTTCTTCCAAATGCTCCATATAGGCATTCGCCAGTACGACCGAGAGGCTAAGCCCCATTGGTGCGCCCTCCTTTTGCTCGAAAAATGAGCCTTGGCACATAAAGTAGCGGCACTCCAGACAGGCTAACATGAGCTTGCGTATTTCTTCTACTCCTAGCTCGCTCCTCTCGAATAAAGTGTCATCATCATTGAGCTTGTCACAGATGACGTTCACAGCTTCCAGCACTGGTACCTTCGTGAAGAGCGAGACGACGTCAAAGCTGACCATCTCATCCGATTCATTGAGCTTCAACTGCTGGGCTTCTTGGGCAAATGAGCCCGAATTGGGTACCGTGTGCTCCGTTTTTCCCAAAACAGGGCTGATGACCTTTGTCAGATGAGCAGATGTGTCGTATGCTGGGGATCCAATCATTGAAGTAATGGGCCTCAAAGGAGTTCCTTCTTTGTGGATCTTTGGAAGACCATACAGTCGGGGGGCTGACGAGTGGTTCGGTTTTAGTTTCTTGGCCAGCTCTCCAGACATCTTTCCCTGTTTGTAAATATCATCTACTGCTTTTTTCATCCGTCTCTCCATCTTCGCCGTGGGATCCCTATCAACACGAACATAAGCTGGATCTTCAAGAAGCAGGGATATTTTTTCTTTGTAGTCTTCCGCGGATAGGACAACAGTCGTATTTCCTTTGTCCGCTGGAAGGATCTTTATATCAGACCGCCTGGAAAGATCGTTTAAAGCTTTACGTTCCCCCGCAGTTAAGTTGTCTTTCACTTCGTGACCCTTGGCCTTGGTAAGTATGGCGCTCACTTTGGATCGGATAACATTTGCATCTCTTTCTGTGACCTGAGAGAGGGCGGCTTCGACAGAGCAGATGATCTCCTTTTCAGGAACCTTTCTGGGTGCGGGAGCGAAACCCAGTCCTTTCTCTAGAACTCTAAGCTCATCTTGAGTTAACTCCTTGCCACTCCTGTTCTCCACCGCTGCAGTGATAACTGTGTCAACCCGCGAGGTCTGTCTTTCCTTGGCTGCTAAAAGAGCGTCAAATTTCTTGCGGTGAGTCCTTTTGGTGGCTTCAAAAACGCCGCAACTCACCGCAAGAAAACTCACCGCAAACTCACCGCAAGAAATTTGACGCTCTTTTAGCAGCCAAGGAAAGACAGACCTCGCGGGTTGACACAGTTATCACTGCAGCGGTGGAGAACAGGAGTGGCAAGGAGTTAACTCAAGATGAGCTTAGAGTTCTAGAGAAAGGACTGGGTTTCGCTCCCGCACCCAGAAAGGTTCCTGAAAAGGAGATCATCTGCTCTGTCGAAGCCGCCCTCTCTCAGGTCACAGAAAGAGATGCAAATGTTATCCGATCCAAAGTGAGCGCCATACTTACCAAGGCCAAGGGTCACGAAGTGAAAGACAACTTAACTGCGGGGGAACGTAAAGCTTTAAACGATCTTTCCAGGCGGTCTGATATAAAGATCCTTCCAGCGGACAAAGGAAATACGACTGTTGTCCTATCCGCGGAAGACTACAAAGAAAAAATATCCCTGCTTCTTGAAGATCCAGCTTATGTTCGTGTTGATAGGGATCCCACGGCGAAGATGGAGAGACGGATGAAAAAAGCAGTAGATGATATTTACAAACAGGGAAAGATGTCTGGAGAGCTGGCCAAGAAACTAAAACCGAACCACTCGTCAGCCCCCCGACTGTATGGTCTTCCAAAGATCCACAAAGAAGGAACTCCTTTGAGGCCCATTACTTCAATGATTGGATCCCCAGCATACGACACATCTGCTCATCTGACAAAGATCATCAGCCCTGTTTTGGGAAAAACGGAGCACACGGTACCCAATTCGGGCTCATTTGCCCAAGAAGCCCAGCAGTTGAAGCTCAATGAATCGGATGAGATGGTCAGCTTTGACGTCGTCTCGCTCTTCACGAAGGTACCAGTGCTGGAAGCTGTGAACGTCATCTGTGACAAGCTCAATGATGATGACACTTTATTCGAGAGGAGCGAGCTAGGAGTAGAAGAAATACGCAAGCTCATGTTAGCCTGTCTGGAGTGCCGCTACTTTATGTGCCAAGGCTCATTTTTCGAGCAAAAGGAGGGCGCACCAATGGGGCTTAGCCTCTCGGTCGTACTGGCGAATGCCTATATGGAGCATTTGGAAGAAACTGTCCTAAATTCGACGCCTTTAAAACCTTCAGTGTGGAGGCGTTACGTTGATGATACGTTCATACTGTGGCCTCATGGGGAAGAAGCTCTCCAAGAGTTTCATGCGCGCTTGAATAGTTTTTGTCCGAGCATTCAATTTACATTGGAACGGGAAGTGAACAATCAACTGCCATTTTTGGACACAATGGTATCGAGATCAAATGGACAGCTGAGTACATCAGTTTACAGAAAGGCAACAGCTTCAAACGTCTACATGAAGTATGACTCAAACCACCCTAAGGCCATGAAGGCAGGCATCATAAGGTGCTTAGAAGCCAGGGCTAGACGAGTCTGCAGTAGCTCGTCCAGTCTGAAAGAGGAAAAGAGTAGAATCAAAGAAATCTTCACGGCGAATGGGTACCCGGAACGGTTTATCATGAAGGCCACCAAACGCCGGGACGCCCGTAGGAATATCCAGGATTCTACCGGTACAAGGAAA